CCCAACCAGCTAGGGCTAGTCAGCCATTCTCATGCTCACTGAGCAAAGTGCTTGTGAATTAGTCAGCCTTCCCAAGCACACAGGTTTGATCCCTACCTACTCACTCTCCTTCTCCCTCCCTGGAGGCATGAGAAGAGAATCAGACTCTCAGACCACCATTTCATATAGCAGCGAATGCTGAGACAGTGGGGATGTTATTTGAGACACAACTAAACAAAATATAAAAACCATAACATAGCTTCAGTGTTTTCCATAGTGTCTTTTTTATATTCCTAAACCCTGACACATGAAATATATGTCAAGATTTGGGTTAAAGGGGCCAGCAGGAGAGAACTTGAGGCCCTCGAGGACAAAGAAATTCTTAGCATCCACTCAGGTCGAATGCTGGAAATCTATTTGATTTGAACCTCAACAACCTGGAGCTGTTTTACAATCTAGGACACGAATGCATTAGCACTTGGACTTGGGCTTGAATTGCAAATTTGATTTTTGTTCTTCACATTTTAAAAGGTTCACCAGATGCTTGGAAAACATTAGGGTTTTGCAGTCTAGCGAACAGAAATACTGTCATTCTACCTATCTGTGTCTTAGAGATCCGAAAAATAATCTCTCCCAGTTGTAGTTGTGGCTATTAATATCCCTGAATTTTAAAAATAATAATAGCTAAGGTTTAATGGGTGCTTACTGGATTCCACGCATGAAGCTAAGAGCTTTCCATGTTATTTCATTTAAGTTCAGCCTCGGGGTAACTGTTTAAGCTACATTTTACTCACCCATTTTGCAAATAAGGAAACCAAGGCTCAGGAGAGATTCCATGTTGTCCAGGATTCATTCATTCAACCTGTGTTTATCAAGTGTCTACTGTGAGCAGCTGGGAACTCAGTAGTGAACAAAACAGAGAAGTCCCTACCCTCATATATTAATAACTCAGTATCTAATAAGCTAACAGTTATTAAGTGTCAGGACACAGTTATATGTTTTATCTCTTAAGTGGAGGCCTTGGATTTGAACCCAAGCATTCTGACTCAGGCCCAGTGCTCCTGTGTCTATGTTACTGACCTCTATGGCCTCACCCAGGTAGACCTGCTCTGCTGGTGAGAGGTGAAACTTATGATTCCCAACCAAACCTGCCCTTATCCATGGTCTTGGCTGCCACTGTTCTACTGAGGAACAAGCAGAGTGTTTGTCTTTATTTTCTCCATCCTGCCCCGTCTACTTTGTGGCCCTATTGAATGGTGGGCCCAGACTTTCTAAAGTAAAGTCAGGTTCATCTTTAAGACAGAGCTTGTTTGTTTCGAGGCGAATATTGCTTCAGGAGGTGCCCAGGGCCCCGCCTTGTTTCCTTCGGGCCCTGAGGCTATGATATTTGAACTTGCCGTTCTGTGTTGAAGCTACATTTAAGTACCTGCCATACCTATGATCAGAACCACAGTCTCCTGGTTTGTTCAATAAAGCACAACGGTGTCTACCTAATATGAAGCATTGAACCAGTATCTTCTTTGAAGTTAAATTCCAGTACATCCCCATTTGGGCTTTGTTTTTAGCAATTCAGGGGTTTTTACTAAGTGAGCGCAGACAGTGTTTGGTGTTGTGACTAAAAATATAAGATTTAGGAACAAGGGCTAGACTGGATTTTCACCCAGTGACCTTTTCTGTTTACGTTTAACATGGATTTCTCTACTTAAGAGAGAATTGCAATAAAGTGGCACTATTTACAATCCCTACATCATCTCCGGATGGGTTTTATTTTACATGGGGCTCCTCTAGAGCCTGATCAGTTTCACCTGTGAGTGCCTAGTTCAGGGTCCAAGGGGATCCTGCTCCTCTCTTCCGTGGAGGACTGCTTGTCCTGCCTTCCCCATGCATTCTGCCTTCTACCCTCAGCTTTGTGAAGTTACGAAAACCCCGGCTAATCTCATCTAGTCTTCCTTTTGTCACCCACTGAGCATTTCTCCAGTACTTACTTTCTGCCAAATGCTTTTACCAGAAGTCCCACACACTTACCTTTTCTGGCAAAAAGGAAAGGGGCAGACAGATGAATTAGGTTCATGGCCTATACATTCATAGAGTTAGCAAGACTTTTCTTAACTTGACTAAAATGAGTCCAGTTAAGTAGACACAACACACTCCAAAGTATGAGATCCCATTCTTGGGGATGCAGAATCTCAATGTCAGGCATTCCGTATGGTCAATGGAACAACCTTCCTGCTCTGATTTAAGTTCACCTCTTTTAGCCTCTATGAATTACACAACAGAATCAGTCACTCAATTTGCCATTATTTATTAATCACTGCACTGAACTTGAGCACAAGGTGCAGCCCCACCAGACACAGTGATCCAGTCAGCTGCCGTCCCTCCTTCCTGGAGCTCACTAAACAGACACTTACACAGTTGCCCCAAAATATGGTAGGAACTATGATGAGGAAGTAGAGATAGCTTAGAAAGACTTACCTCCAGCATATCCAACCTAGTATAGGTGAGTCAAAGAACACCCTGGGGAATGGATATAAGAGAAGATTTCTTAGAGTAAGTGAAGTCTAAAAAAAAAACAGAAAGATGAGCGGCTGTTAACCTGGGAAAAAGGTGATGAAGGAGAAGCAGTATATTCTAAGAAAAGAAAACAAAATGTCCAAAGTTCTGGAAGCAGAACAAAGCTTGGCACACTTAAGAAACTGAAGTGTCAGGAGAATTTATAGAAAAAGTCCAGCAGGGGATGGAGAGGTGATGCTAAGCTGAGAAGGAAGAAAATTAGCCTGAAATTATGACCAAAAGAGCCAGGTGAAGTAGGTTCCTTTGGGTTTTAATCTAAAGGCATGGGAAATCACTACAGGTTTATAAGCAGGAAGGGTGATATGTTTTGTCTGTCTGTTTGTTTGTGTTGAAGATGTGGCAGTGCAGTGAATAAATTGATAGAAAGCAAAGCAATGCATCAAAGAATAGATGAAAGAGTAAATGGATGGGTGAACGAAACCAAGACACACAGATCAATTAGGAGACAGTTGCAATAGTCTAACAAGAGATAATGATATCCTGGCCAAGGATAGTAGCAGTGAGGTTGGAGGTGAGTCGGTATATTAGAGTGATAGTTTGGAGCAGAATCCATAGGACTTGGTGATTAGTGATGTGAGGTGTTTCAAGAAGAATGCTCAAGTTTCTGATTTGGTAACTGGGTAGTACTGAGATAGGAACATGGGTGAGGACCAGGTTTGAGTAGTCAAAGATAATCAGCTCAGTGTTAAGTTTTAGATGACCAAGAAACATCTGGTAAGAAAGCATTGGAGTTAGTGGAGCTCAGCAGATAAGGGAGGGCTGAATATGTTGTTACTAGAGGCGGGTTGGCCCTCAGCCCAGACTGTGCCCTCTCCAATCTTGGATCCCTCATTGGGTCTAAACGGGCAGTCGGACATCCCTCTCACAATCCAGGACTGCTGGCTCCCAACTGCTCCCCTGCCTGCCTTCCTGATTGTCCCTAACCGCTTCTGCCTGCCAGCCTGATCACCCCCTAACCACTCCTATGCCAGCCTGATTGGTGTCTAACTGCTCCCCTGCCAGCCTGTTTGCCCCCAACTTCCCTCCTCTGCTGGCCTGGTCACCCCTAACTGCCTTCCCCTGCAAGCTTGATTGCCCCCAACTGCCCTCCCTGGCAGGCCTGGTCCCTCCCAACTGCCCTCCCCTGCTGGCCATCTTGTGGTGGTCATCTTTGACCACATGTCCTGAGAGATAGCACCTAAGCCCACAAGCCAAGTCTTTATTGTGTAGCAGATGCCACGAGGCAAAGGACTTGGTCAAGATGTTGCAGTGTTTCCCAAACTTCTCTCATGATGAGAATCACCTAGTGGAGTTGTTAAAATACAGATTCCTGAATCCCAACTAAGAAGTGCTAAACTAGAATTTCTGGGAACTTATAGGTAAAATTGTATACTTAACAGAGCACTAGGTTAAATATACAATTTTACCTATAAGTTCCCAGAAATTCTATGTAGAATTTCCCAGAAATTCTAGTCTTAGAGCACTAGTTAAGTATACAATTTTACCTATATATAAAATTTAGCACTTCTTAGTTGGAATTCAGGAATCTGTATTTTAACAACTCCACCAGGTGATTCTCATATGAGAGAAGTTTGGGAAACACTGGTTTACAGCATCCTACTCCATTACATGTACCTGATCAAACCTGGTTTACTTGCAGCCTATATCACTCAGGCAAGTGGGGCCACGTGTTCAGACCACAGGTTCAAACTTACAACTCTAGCTGTTGGAAAAATTGTGCCATATTGTGTGTTGGAGTAATGGTCAATCTGCATATACTCTTTTATTAGATCGGATGAGGTTACCAGCCAAGAGAAGTTAGTGGACACTGTTGTGATGTGTGAAATCATCTAGGCTAGGATGTAGAATGGGTAGGGGGAAAAGCTTAAGATGGAACAATAAAGAATTCCATAATTTAAGGGAAAGAAAGAAGAATACATAGGAAGCTAAAGAGGAGCCAGGTGGTGAGACAGGAAGAAATCCAAGAAAGTGTGAGAGCTTGGAAACTAACAGAGACATGCCCTTAGACAGAGTGGGCTAATGTATCACAAGGGGCTGGGAAGTCTTGTAAAGTAAGAATTCAAAGGAAGTTTGGGGTTAAGTTCATCGTCATTTCTACACTATTATATTACAATATTAGTAAATGTGTTAAATTTTCTATTCTTAGAGGATTTTTATTGTTCTTTAAAAATATTGTTGATTTAATTCCTTAATGTTCTCAATGGAGAGGTGACACAAATTTAAGTAAGTGCTAACATCTTTCTCAAGTATAGTACATTTTGGTCCAAGTCTCATGTTTAGCATTCAGTTGAAAATAGTAATAGATGATTCTCACTCTCCAATCTTTAGTTTTTTTTCTGACTCTCTAGCTTTGTGGGCTCTGCTTGTTAGAAGTTAAGAGGACAGCAATACCTTTCACCGTGCTGAAAGAGCTAGAAATTTAGTCATTCTCTTCCCTATTTCTTTTCCAGCTCCAAGAGACTGTGAAAAGGAAGTTGGAAGGAGCCCGATCACCACTTAATGGAGACCAGCAGAATGGTGCTTGCGATGGGAGTTTTTCTCCAACCAGCAAGAGAATACGAAAGGATATTCCCACAGGGATGGAAGCCATCAACAGTTTGCCCAACAACATGCCACTGCCTTCAGCTTCTCCTCTGCACCAACTTGACCTGAAGCCTTCTTTGCCCTTGCAAAATAGCGGGACTCACACTCCTGGACTCCTAGAAGACCTAAGTAAGAATGGTAGACTCCCAGAGATTAAACTTCAGCCTGTGAATGGTTGTAGTGACCTGGAAGATAGCTTCACCATCTTGCAGAACAAGGACCTCAAACAAGAACCTCTAGACGACCCTACTTGCATAGACACATCAGAAACATCTCTTTCAAATCAGAACAAGCTGTTCTCAGATATTAACCTGAATGACCAGGAGTGGCAAGAATTAATCGATGAGCTGGCTAACACGGTTCCTGAAGATGACATACAGGACCTGTTCAATGAAGACTTTGAAGAGAAGAAGGAGCCAGAATTCTCGCAGCCAGCGACGGAGACCCCTCTCTCCCAGGAAAGCGTGAGCGTGAAGAGCGACCCCTCTCACTCTCCTTTTACACATATCTCCATGGGATCTCCCCAGACAAGGCCTTCTTCTTCTGGTCCTCCCTTTTCCAACGTCTCCACAGCCACCAGTTTACCTTCTGTTGCCAACACTCCTGCGGCTCCGAACCCCGCCGGCTCTCCAGCAAACTGTGCGGTCCAGTCCCCGCCAACTCCAAACCCGGCCCACACCCCGGGCCAAGCTCCACCTCGGCCTGGCAATGGTTATCTCCTCAATCCAGCAGCAGTGTCAGTCACTGGCGCGGGGTCCGGGCCAGGGGCTGTGCCCAGCTCCGACATGTCTCCAGCGGAGCAGCTCAAACAGATGGCGGCACAGCAACAGCAGAGGGCCAAGCTCATGCAGCAGCAGCAGCAGCAGCAGCAGCACCATCCAAACCAGACTTCCAGCTGGTCCCCGCTAGGGCCTCCATCCAGTCCATACGGCGCCGCTTTCACCGCAGAAAAACCAAATAGCCCCATGATGTACCCCCAAGCCTTTAACAACCAAAACCCCATAGTGCCTCCGATGGCAAACAACCTGCAGAAGACGACAATGAATAACTACCTCCCGCAGAATCACATGAACATGATCAATCAGCAGCCAAATAACTTGGGTACAAACTCCTTAAACAAACAGCACAGCATTCTCTCTTATGGCAACACTAAGCCTCTGACCCACTTCAATGCGGACTTGAGTCAGAGAATGACGCCGCCCATGGCCAATCCCAACAAAAGCCCCCTGATGCCCTACATCCAGCAGCAGCCGCAGCCGCAGCCGCAGCAGCAGTCGCAGCCGCAGCTCCAGGCTCCGCGGGCGCACCTGAGTGAGGACCAGAAGCGCATGCTTCTCATGAAGCAGAAAGGAGTGATGAACCAGCCGCTGGCGTACGCCGCACTGCCATCCCACGGTCAGGTAGGTGTGAGAGCGATGCCCACCTTGCGCCCTACCGCTGGTGTGGTTCAGACTGTCTGCGTGTGATGGTTTGGCACCAGCGGGGTTTTAATTTCTCGCAGAAATGCTTCCTACAGGTCCTCGTAGGGTTGCCAGATTTGGGTTTGGGGGTTTTTCCCTTCCTTTTCTCTAAGAGATGGAAAAGGTTAGCCCAATTAACTTGCCTGTATTTGAATGCCTGGGAATCAAATGTCTTAGATTCCCAGCAGCAGATAAGAAATGAAAAATTACATAAGGTCCTCACTCTGAGGGAGGCAGTACTGTCACGGTCCCAGGGCCAGAGCCGGTCTCCTTACCTCCTGGTCGTTCAGTCCTACCCGCAGCCAGGTGAGGAGGCCAGAGCCTTTGGGGATCGCTACCACAGTTTGATGAAGCCCTCAACAGCCTTTGCCTAGTTATGAATCCTGGACATTTGGATTCTTGATGTTCAAATCTGGGAGAGTTTTCTGTATTTTCAGAGTGAACTGCAGGGTAGATTTTTGTAGGATTTGGCGCTGAACTAAGGCAATTAGAAGCTGCTTCAAGCTCGTGGCATGGGAGTGCAGTCAAACCTCTCCAGTGTATTCAGCTCTAATTCGGGGAAATTTGATGGTAACTGTACCTTAGTATCCAAATAAAGTCTCCTCTCTCTCACTTCCTGGCTTCCTGGTTTGGGCAGCAGGGAATAGATCCTTGGAAAAAAATGAGTGTCAGCCAATGGGGAGTGAATACTCATTGATAAACATTCACCTCCTCATCCTGACCACTGTGGCAACAGGCCAAGCTCCTTCAATGTATCACTTCCTCTGCCTAGCAGGAGAGGAGAGAGGGGAAGTGCATTGTTCTACTGTGCTACTCCATACACGGGTGAATTTATCAGCCGCCACTGTCCTGCCTACCGCTGTTCTGTGCCCTCCTCCTCGCAGGATGCCTACATTTGCATTGCAGTTGGAGGCTTTAAGGAAAGGTCTTTGCTGAAAGGGCCCTCGTGTTCATACAAGTTCTATTATAACTAGTGCTTGGATGTGTGTCCACAGCTGGACGCATCAGAAGTAATGCAGGCAGGTCTTGTATCACTAGGCAACTGCTTGCATCTTCTGTCTCCTGGTGTGACCACCCCCTCCCGCCTCATATCCACCCAACCGCCCTGAGCTTGTCAGTGGCCGCATAGCTGGCAGTGGTGCTGGCCTGCAGAGACAGGCCTGAGATGTGTGGCTTGGTTCCTGTCCTTCACAGCCTTCCAATCCCAAAACCTCACAGTGGTTTCTTGTCGGCACATGCCAGCCGGCTCTAAAGAAATTTGGTCTGGAGAAATAAAAATGTAGCTTGGTTTACGTCAACTGCAGTCAGTCGCAGGTAGGAAAACATCATTGATATGTGGATTTTTATGTATTATTTTGGTTTTATTAATACACACACACACACACACACCATTGGAAAGGTGTAACATCTTATACACTTCAGTATTAAGTTCTGAAGCAGGCAAAAATATAGGCAGTGCACAAGGTTGTTTGTTGAAGCCCGGGCACATCCGAGGTTTATGAGATCGCAAGCTGTCAGAATGGTCTCGTCTTCATCTTAATGCAAATTGTGCTTCTACATCTGCCAGCTACAGTAACATATCTCCTCCGAGCCAGATCAAAGATGATTAGTTCTAATTCTCAGGCTCTGCAGACATGTAGGTGCAGTATGAACCCATCCTCAACCCCCCACCCCCCACCCCCGACTGAATGTCTTTTGAAATTTGCTAACTTGGGATGAAGTTCTTTTCTTTGCTGGGACATGAATTTTAAAGGTACTTATTTCCGGCCCTTACGCTTGCCTCACTATGAGTAACTGAGGCCTTCAGCCATAGAGCTCATGTTTGGAAAGGGCTCAGTCAGGTGAAGAGATGAAGGTGATGGTTTCCTGGACTAAATCTATGGGCTTGTCCTCTGGTCCTTCCATCTCACGAGGTATTTTCAGGGTGGACAGAATCTGTGTTCTCGAGGCCTTGTTAGAATAATCACTTCTTAACCTCATACAGAGCCATCAAGCAAAAGCATGCTTTTTAATGAAATATTAACTCACCACTGTTTGAAACAAGCCTCAAAATACACATATAAACATGTGAATATCCTTCTGCAAACATACCAGTTATTTCATGCTTTTATCTGATTGTGGAGCAGTATTTACATAGCTCTCAGAATCATTCATTTGCACTCTGTGCGAGTACATGGCACAAAGACATGCACGAATTACAAGCGAGACATAAAATGTAATTATACGTAGGTGTAGTTCAAATTTGTTTTCTGATGTTGCTAGTGAAAATTCGCTTGATTCTTTGTTGGCCACAAGGACCATGAGCAACACTTAGATTTAATGATTGACTTGAGCACCAAAGCCAGTAATACTAGAACACTGATTTCAACATAATTATCTTCTATAGATGTTTACTTATTTGGGACAATTGCAGAAAATGCAGTTCCTCTCAGAAATGAATAGAAATTCACACAGTTTCTAGATATTTCAAAAAAGAGGGGACCAAACCTAGAAAGCATCCAAGAAGAACTTTTTTTCAAAATTTTGAATATGTTTTATCAAGAAATTTCACTTCTCAGAATTCATCTCATATTCCTTATAATTAGAGAATTGAGCAAAGATTTATGTACAAAGATTATGTGCAGGGTGTTCATTACAAAAGTGGAAAATTGCGACCAAAATAAGAATTTTGGAAAAATAATGGACATGAAAACCATGTTATTGAGTGATTATCATGTGGAAATGCTCATAGGAAGAGTGAAGTAAGCAGATTGATAGTACAACAGCTTATATATTATAATCCAGATTGTGTTTTTAATACATACAGAAAAATACCAAATAACTAATATATTAAGAATGCTATATTTGGTTGAAAAAATTATGAGTGATTACTGGTTTCCCTCCATAATTTACCAAGTTTTCTGTCATACCTGTATGTTAATTCTACCATCAAGAAAATAGTTTTTAAGGAAGGGAAATCCCCTATTTTAAAAAAGTTTATGCTAATTATTTTTTTTTTTTTTAATTCTTATTTTTTCAATTTGCCAGTTGGAATGAGTTGGGGCCATTATTTTTTACTCATTTACATACAGTATTAGTTATAGACCCCTGCTTTAGCAGATAGGTAGTTCCAAACCCTTCTCCTCACATTCTCCTCTTCTCTCTCCACCTTCTCTTCTCACTCCTGTCATCTGCTCTGAATTCTTATAAAATCTCAGCTAAGATAGCGACAAGGAAAGTATCAGTGAACTGCCACCATTATGAACTTTCAAGTCTTCTCTGGATTATGTTCTCGTATTAATTCTTTGATCATTTCTCTTTTCACTTTTTCTCATATTGTACTTTCTGGGCTACTCTCTAGTTTTTTAAATATGTGATTCTGTGATGAAATAACCAGAACTTACTTTGACCAAGTCTATCTGTTATTTTTTTTCCCTAATATTTTTGTTTCTTGAGAACAGCCTCTCTCTCTCTCTCTCTCTCTCTCTCTCTCTCTCTCTCTCTCTCTCTCTCTCTCTTTCTCCCCCCCCCTTTCTCTCTCTCTCTCATAGTACCTTACACTGCATCTTAAACATTAGGATGTTTAATAAATCATTAAACATGGTCATTATCAGTGTTCAGAACAAAAGTATGTTTGCAGTGGAGTCTCAGCTCCAGTGGAGAGAGCATTAGCACAAACAACACAGAGCTGCTTTTGAGATCAAACAGAAGAACTGGAAAGGCCAGTCTGAAAGGGATCCTTTGATAGCAGGTGGTTATCTTGAACCAGTGGAACAACAGTGAGATTGCGGGAAAGGCAAGCTCAGTCTCTGTGTCTGACAAACAGAAACAGTGGAGCAGCTCTGAAAGGAGGGGGTCAAGCAAGTTACAAGCACCCTGGCCCAGGGATACCTTTTACCCGGAGCAGTGGAAAGGGAATCATTTCCAAGGTGTGATGTTCATTTGTAGTAGTTGCAATCATAGGGCTAGAGAATAGGATGACTACGCTATTTTATTAATACTTTGCATGCTGTTTGCGGTATATGGCTGAGTGTATCAGAATGAGTACATGTGTTTTCATGTTTTATAAAATGTTTTTACTTTTCCGTTTAATTTTACCAAAATTTGTTGGGTAACATGTGAGGTGTCTCATTGTAAAATTTTTAACCATGAAATCTCTAAAAAAAAAAAAAAAAGAATAGAGCTCCAATTTTAATAGCCATCATAGGAATCCCTTTGAAGATATATTTTCCTTAACTTTAACATCTTGGAGTCCTTTTTTCTTTTTCTTTTTTTATTGATTTTTTTTACAGAGAGGAAGGGAGAGAGATAGAGAGCTAGAAACGTCGAGGAGAGAGAAATAGCCCAGCTGCCTCTTGCACACCCCTGACTGGGGATGTGCCCGCAACCAAGGTACATGCCCTTGACCAGAATCGAACCCAGGTCTTTTCAGTCCGCAGACCGACGCTCTACCGCTGAGCCAAACAGGTTTCGTCAAGGAGTCCTTTTTTTTCGTTTAGCGATCGCGCATGTGTGTGTGGGGGTGTGTTTACTATTTTATCCAAATAATATATGACATAGCTCAGAAAGTCAAACAGGGCCAGAAGGCTTATAATGAGGAGGAGGAACTTCATCCTCTTCATTCTTTATTTCTGCTTCCCAAGGTGACCACTTCAGTTCATTAAGTCATTTTCTCTCATTTATTCCATAAACTGCTGTTTCTCAATATGTCAGTTATTTGATTCTTTAAGAGATGAAGCTTCTTCAGCTCACTTACACTACCTCCTCACAAACACAACCCCCTCTACAAACCAAATCTCTTTTTTTCTTTGCCCCATACTCTCAGTATAGCTAGATATATTACAAATTATGATTTTTAAAGTATTCCATATCTACATGACTGATTTTTGCATAGTGCCTCACAGTTTAGCTGTGTTATGTTATTATTGAATTTGCTTTCTTGTAAGACTTTTTGTTATTCC